ACCCCCCCCACCCCCTATTTACATCCAACGATGTGATTCACGGGGCATTGTGGGAGACACTCAGATTCTACATCGTCTCATTTGTTACACGAAGCACTAACGTTCAGATTTAACAAAAAAACATGACATCTTTTTCACGTTCTGCAGGATTAATGAACGGGACCTTTCTTACCAGTATCAACATATGAGAATAGGTTTTACCCTCTGGCAATAAGACAGGATTCCTTGCAAGAGATATCTGTTTGGTGTTTGAACATCTTCTTATAACCTATTCTTATAGGATTAATCAATGTTGGAATCCCGTGGAGTTAATGGAGTCGCAGGGGCGAGCCCCACTGCATTCCGTGACACAATCAGGACGCAGGGAGACTCGTTCGATTCCCGCAGTGATGTTTTTAATGCCGCGTCCTTCGGCGACGCGCGAGGGGGGTTTGGCCTTGCCCGAGTGGTCGCGCCTTTCTCTGCGCTCGTGAGAGAACGGCGCTCCGTACAAAGCGAGCGGAGATCCGAGTTGCTTTTGTGAATACTGCCGCCGCCGCCACCCATCGTCGGTGGCTCCAGTTGGGTTCTTGGGTGCAATAATTTGGCCACAGGAGGGCGCCACCACCCTGCGAGTCGCGGAGACGAAGCCTGGCCGACAAAGCCAGCGACGGGACGTGTCTCGAGATGAAACACGTCCCGATGGGGTCCCGAGAGAGGAGACCCGACACCTCTCCACAGGGGCCCGAGACCCCGTTACTGCCGAGTCCCCGTTGCCGCCGAGACCCCGTTACCACCGAGTCCCCGTTACCACAGAGTCCCTTCTTGCCACGTCAGCTAACTTCACATTTTTGCCCAAGTGAGTGGCTAGGAGATATTAAATACTTTGCCTGGCATACAGGTCGTACATTCGAACTCAACCCTGACGCCTGCTGTATTATTTGGTGTCTGCATGTTCTCTTTCGCGTGGTAGTGTGGGCCTTACCTGGTAAAAAAGATATAGTTTGATGTTTTTAGTTGAAGTTAAATGCATGAATCGTTTTTTTTCTGTTGTTGGATGTCGATTTTGCTTGCGGTCCAGATAATTGTGAACTGTGGAGAATTGAACGGACGTTGTTTACACGGGCCAATCCTAATGACGTTAATGTTTTAAAACAGTACAAACTATTATAAGATACAATACTTTATTTTACGAATTTAAAACTTTGCCAAAATGCGGCCCCATTGTAGACTTCCTAGAACTGAACAGGCAGAGAAAGCACAGAACAGAGGCGCCCCACACTCTTGAGGGCATGGGTCACAAGAGTCAGCTGGGCTGCTATAGAGGCGCACCAGGCAGGGCTGGGCTGATGGACAGCATGGGCCCCTCTCTCAAACCCTCTATCCCTCAGGGTGGAGACGAACGGCAGAGTAGAACACAAACGTTTCAGGTTGCTGTCCCAGCAAAAAAAAAAACTGCTCTGTTGGAGAATATTTTCCACAGCATGGCATCGAATACACATTCCTTATATATACACACACCGAAGCATGTTGATCAAGGTTGACCAACTCTACAAATGTGGAAAGATGCGTGGCAAAAATCAATGAAAACATTTTCCCCTCCCCGTGTAAATTGTTGATAACAGTCTTGATTTGAACCTTTCGTGACTGCAGGAATCCATACTCTCTGGTTATTTCGGTAAAGTCACGTAGATCGTGACTTAACCGAAAGAACCAGAGTGTTGATATCAGCATGGCGAATGTTAAAGTGGGGCCCCGCAATCTAGCATCGTGCGACGAACAACCTTCACGTCCAAGAGATATAACCGTTTGTTTCTTAACGCCACCCGAGTTTTGCAAGTTTTACATCATCGCTCTAAGACGCGAAGAGGCGGCCATCGCACATGCGACGCCGGGTTCTGTCGGCGGAGAGTGGTGGTGCAGCGGTTAGCGCACCGCGCTGTGAACCAGGCGACCAGAGTTCGATTCCCGCTCAGGGACACCGGTGACGATTACCTGAACAAGTCCTGGGCCTCCCCTAGGTCGACTCAGCGTCTCATGTGTACCCCTGGTGCGACGTGGAAACATCGCCACTGGGGAGACAAAGGCGGCCGGGCGTGGTGCTGGCCACCCACCCCCTCGTGTGCCATGCCGGCCTTCATAGCTGCTGCTCGCTAACAGCACTTTCCCCAACAATCTGTTCAAAGCCTATACGGGGATCTTTGGAGGTGGTGGGGACAACGCTCACAACCGAGTACATGTTACAGCACAGTTTTACCTCTAAAGCAATGGAAAGGCTTGATGCCACAACATACATATCACCATCATCATTATTATTATTGAAACATTTATAAGTACTTTCATTGTCAAATTCGGAGTGGGTAAATAAGTATCCAGTGGAAGAAATGTAACTATATTTGACCTTCACGCGCACACTGCAGAACGAAGCTCCCGTTCAGAGGGTACATGTGAATTTAATTTGCCGTGAAATTTCGGCGCTTTGTTGACTTCGCGTTCCGAGTAGGAACGCGAAGGACAGCGTCAGGAAGCCGCCGCTCCATGCGACGATTGCCGCAGGGTCCAAGGAACGAGCAACGCGTCCCGTCGACGCTCAGAGGGGGAAAACTCCGGAGCGTTCACCGAACGCCACCGCCACTATAAAACGTTCGGCGGCGGTAATTCTCCTCTAAAATCCATCTCGCAAACCACCGATGGCGCAACCCGCTACACAGCGGCGTTAGGCGTGGGGTTGAAGACCCAGAATGCCGCGATGCTAAGGACGTACACAGCTCTACAAGGCAAGGACCATACAACAAAAACACCACGCCAACTCCGGTCAGTCATCCTCACAGAGGTGCGGCTTTTGGCCGGCCGTCGAACAAAGACAGGTAACTGCATCGTGCGGGGAGCTTTCAGATGGTTCTCGTGGCCATCTGGAACGCTCTTCCAATTATTACAAAGCCCACTCGGATCTATGCACTTTGAAATCTATATTGAAGACTAATATCTTTAGAACTGCTTTTTGTGTTTAGTGTTGTTGTCCTTCCCCCACACCACCGATTAGCACGGTTGGCGACGTGCGACGCGAAAGAAGTCCAACATCACACAAGGCTGCCAATGGGGGGCCCGCACGGCGTCTCTGGCGTTACTCCCTCTCTCTCTCTCCGCACCGTGTTATTCCGCTGCCCGTCACCGTGAGTGCATTGCCCTCCCTGCCCCCCTTGACGCGCCCTCAGAGACACAACACTCTCCCACGCAAATGCAAGCCGCTCCCCCCCATAGCAAAATAACTGAAACTGAAAAAGATAATCACACATTTCATGGCCAAATAACAATACGGTAAGAGCACACCACACTGAATAGTAAAAGCGAAACACGTCTAAGCTGTCACTGCACTTGCGTTAAATTACACGATCGACATTCATGTTATGGGGGCCGTATAAATGGTGCGATTACTCTTTAAAGTCTACACGGATGGTTGTGTACTCAGCCACGGGCTGAGCCAAGTCGAGGCTTTTTCATTCTTGGCACGGCTCCCCATCGGAAGCCGCCCAAACACAGCTGGGCGGGCTCAGCAATTGACGGAGCGCCTCTTTGTAAGCAGTCGCCGCACGACACGTGGCGGTGCTGCCAGGACGTCGCGCGGTACCCGGTGGCGCGCCGTGCTGTGTCTGGCTGAATTGCTCGGCTGAACTTCCGCAGTGCCCGTTTCTGGAGATTTGTAAGCATCAGGGAGGTGGTGGTGGTGGAGGGGAGCGGGTTATATTACAGGTAGCACTGTCCATGTGAAGGAGACGAGTGTTGGTTCCATCGCTCGCTTACCCCACTACAACCGTCGCCATCACCACCACACTTTTTCCACTGCAATATAATTTCCATCGGATCCACGCACATCAACACCGATCACTCTCCAGTTCCAGCCGTCGCTAAAAATCAAAACAAACGAAGCCGAAGACTTTCGAAACCAACCCAAGCCCAGGAACAAACAAGACCGCCGCCACTTATCTGTACCGTTACAACAAAAACAATAAGGTGACAAGGAAAAGGCACGACTCGGATGACACAAACAGGAAGGCGGTGGAGGGGAAGCTGCAAGGCACCCAGCAGACACCCCACACACACCCCAAAGACAAATATCCCCCGTGTAGCCTTAACAGACTGTATTGGCAAGTGCTGTTAGCGAGCACCTATAAAGGCAGACACGGCACACGAGGGGGTGGGTGGCCAACACCACGCCGGCCGCCTTTGTTTCCCCAGCGGCGATGGTTACACCGCACCAGGTAATCATTTGAGGCTGAGTCGACCTAGGGGAGGCCCAGGACCGGTTCAGATAATCGTCATTGGCGTTGGCCGTGAGCGGGAATCGAACTCAGTTCGCCAGGTTCATAGTGCAGCGCACTAACCGCTACACTACTGCTCCCCACACGGGTCGGCTAACAGGTCTACGGCGAGCCAACATCGGCACCCCCCCCACAGACACACCGCCCCCCTCACTCACAACCCATCGCTTCTGTAGCCCTCAAAACAATTTCAGACGGCGGCAGATGGAGTCTACCCGGTTAAGCCGTTTCAAACTCCGCAAAGCCTTGCGTCAAAATGTTAAAATAAATCGGTTCCTGAGCACTTTTTGAGTCGGATACAAACGGGCTGTCGGGACTTTGTCGTGTGGCTGTGTGGCGTGGGCTCACAGGGGGAAGGCACGGCATCTACAGCTGCCCCCACTCAACCCCACGCTGCCATGGCGAGTGAGAGCAGAGAGCGAGACCTACTCTGAGCAACGAGCGCTCTGCATAGAGGTGCTGGGCGGACAGCAGCTCCGTGGCTCGATCCCTCGGTGCGGCCGAGTGAACAGAATCCCAACGGGAGGCCGAGTGAACAGAATCCCAACGGGAGGCCGCAAACTCAATGACGTTGGGGCCCAGCCCAGCCCGGACGTTGTCACCCCGGTTGCCAGATGCCCCTGGTGGTCTAGAACACAACCAGCTCGCGCGCCCAGGACAGGGGTGGCGATTGATCTACAACGGCAGCAGCGAAGCCAGACAGATGATGAAGAAGTTTTTACTCCACAAATGTCACACCGGTGCAACCAACGCACGAGGAACGGGCAACTTCGTGAGACGCGATCCCGAGAAGAATAAAAAATGACACAAGAGTAGTTTACACGTTTTTGTTGTAAGTGCTTAACGATGACGATGATGAACAAGCAGCAATTTTCCCACACTGCTTTTTAATTTCCTAAACCGCCTCTGTACATTACCTCATTTGCATACTTTCTGCTGCGGACATCAGCCCTTTGTTTTCCCTCAGATCAGAATTAATTAGCCTGCGCGGTGTCTCGACGGGAATACGTGCCGGGAAAATGACGCGATAAGTCCCTCTATGTACAGGAAAGGGGGTGGTGGTATTGTGTTCTGCCGACCGAGATAACTTCAAAACACCATTGTGCAGACGCACAGCAGCACCTAGGAGCGAGCAGAATCGGTGCATGCGAGTTGAATACACAAACACCAGAGTTCAAAAAGTGCGCCCACAAAATCACGAGCGTATATATGGCACTGCTGCTCACCAAAATATAACAGTCTTCTGCAGTCTTCTGCTTGTTGTATTGATTCCTTTGTTTCCGTTCTTTTTGATGTTGTTGTCGTCGTTGCAGAAACAACGTTCGGCGGGCGGGCGGGCGGCAGATTCGCGAACCAACCGCGATTCCAGCGTAAGGAAATCGGCCGCGGAGAGAGAGCGTTTGGGGGCCGACTGGTACACACGTTGCATATTTTTGTTTCCGAAGCAGAGCATTACAAAAAATTTCATACGGAGGCTTCTTTACAGTTGCAACAAAAATAAAAAAAGCCTTTTAAACGAATATAAACGCGCTTCAACAATTTAAACAATCGGCTCCCACAGTGTAAACAAAAAAAAAACTTTTTTTTTGCCAAGGCAGTGAGCGGGGTGGAGAATAACGGAGAAAATAAACTTCCCTCTAGCCGGGCGTGCAAGGAGGTTTGCCGTGGGGTCCTTCACCGTCTCAATCGATTGCAAGAGCAAAATTACGATGACAGGGGGGAAGATCCGCCAGCTCCACAGTCAAGCAACCCCCCCCCCCCCCCAGCCCACGCATCACACCGCCGCCAAAAGTGCTTCCGAGAGCCGCGTGCGCATCACCGGGCAGGGGCTACGGGCATATGCATTTCGCGACGCGGGAATTCGACGACGGGAAACAAACATTGTACTCGCGCGCGTGTGTGCGTGCGGTGAAAAAAACCAAGACCCCATATAGAAGATACGACTTGTGCGGTAGAGGGGGGGGAAGTGAGCGGAGGGGGGGGGGGGGGAAGTGAGCTGTGGGGGGGGGGGGCCTCCATCTGGTGCATGCCTTGCGGTCGGGGGGAGGCAGAAGCGGCCACGGGCTGTACATGTCTGGGGACGGCTCCGCCGTGACTCGGGACTCACAGCCTCCGCGAGCCGCGCTCCAGCAGCATCTGTGCAGACACCACAACACAGCAGCAGCAGCAGCACAGTGCCACTTTGTTATTCCGCTGGTGTGCCCAGTAGGGCCTCGCCGAGTCTCAACTCTTATTTTCTACGAGGATCCTGCCAAGATTTAGCAGTCAGGGGCGATGCTGCCGAGGTAACTGATGATAGACTTTTTGGGGTAAGTGCTGTTTGCGGGCGGCACCTATGAAAGCCAGCACAGCACACGAGGGGGTGGGTTGCCAGCACACCCCCGAAGCACCCCCCCGCGCCCGCCCCCTCTAACCACCACTCCGCACCCCCTAACCACCCCCCCCGCGGCCGCACCCCCCAACCACCCGCCGGCGGCCACCCCCCCAACCACCCCTCGGCACCCCCTGATCCGTGGATCAAACAAATCGTTTGAGACACGGCCGGCGTCTGGGAACAGAGCGGTTGACGTGAACACTGTCGCAAGAGGTCACGTTTGGTTGCAAACGGACCTTCGCCGACTGTGCGTGACGAATGAATGTCCTGTGCTCTTTGCCCGTGTGTTTCGTCATGTGGGGGAGGGGGGGGGGGCGCTAAATAATTGCTGAAAGCACTGGGGGTTCTTCGGCCGTGTGGTAGGTGTTAACATTTGATTTTTATTACTTTATTACAATTTGTATTTCTCCCATTAAAAAAACAAAATGTTCTTCAAGAGTGGAACATTTTTGGGGCTGAAACATAGCTCAATGAGTGAGTCAATGGGAGAACGACGATCGTTTGACGAGGTTTTCGCTTACCGAGCAACATTTTCGCGGAACGTATGTCACTCCTTCTGCGGCACGCTCGGTGTTTTGCCACGCTTGCTGATTGCGTCACCATTGTAACTCGGCCGCGCTATATGCCATTTTGTCATTTCCGGAACCCACGTCGCCCCTTGCAAATGAGACTCCTCCTCCTCTTCTACTCCGCATAGCCTTACGTTCTCACCTGGGTTAAAACACATCAACTTGAAACTTCTCAACCCCAACGCAATGCAATCTTCTCCCCCACAAGTGGGGCGGGCTGGGAGGAGGGGTCACTCGGGCCCCCTCGGCCGCCTTCCCCCCCCCCCCCCAACTGCCACCTGCGTGCTACTGCCGCTATCCCTGGCGCCGTTACAACCCCAGGGACGAGATTCCCGCGCGGGAGTCTCTGTCTCTCGTGCCTAGGGGCTTTACAACAATTGTAAAATTGTACGCAAGATGATGGTGGTTGAGATAAAGAGTGGGGGTCGTTATTAAACGTGGTGGTGTAGCTGTGGTGATGGTTAGGACAGGTGGGAGAGGTTAATGAGGGATGGGGGTAGTGATAGGAGTTAGGATGGGGATAGTGATTGGGGTAGGGGTAGTAATAGAAGTATTGATAGGTGTTGAGGTATTGATAGAGGTAGGAGCTGGGGTATGGGTAGTGACAGGGGTAGTGATAGAGGAGTATTGATACGGGTAGCGGTAGTAATAGGGGCAGTGATAGGGGTTGGGGTAGTAACAAAGGGGTTTTGATAGGGGTAGTGACAGGGGTAGGGTAGGCCTTGTCGTAGCTCGGGGGCAGGGAGTAGCAGTAGCAGCAGGATGATGATGATGATGCTGGGCTAGAGGAGAAGAGATGGGGGTTGTTTTAAGGGAGGAACAAAAGTAGGTTAGTGAAGGCGATTGTTGATTTCTCACAGCTTCGCGTTCATAACAGCTCTCGTTTTTAACGGCTCACTTGCATTGTTGGTTTTCCCGTCTCGTTCGCAGGCGAGTGGAGCGGTGCGAGGGGGGGGAAGCCAGTAAGAGAAGTGAGGCGACCTGCAGAGTGACTGTGGGTGAACTCGGCGTGGCGGACGACAGACCAAACGGTCGGTGTCCGGTCGACCCAAAGCCCTCGACAACAATGGTGGAGCAATCAACGAGCGAAGTTCACTGGGATAGTAACCACGGCGGCAGCGACAGAAGAGCGACGAGCAGGCGACTGGCCGCCAGTGAGCGACTGGATCATCAATCGGCCCGAAAGCTTCACGCTGCGCTCCGCTCCAGATGAGAGAGCAGCAGCAGGCTTCAGGCTCCAGCCAGAACCCCCGCTTGGTGCAACAGCAGTGAAAGATTTTTCGGAATTGAGGACGAAGGGGCCATGGACTAGGGAAACAGAGTGAGTGCCTTGCCGAACCGGCTGACGACGGGCCGGGAGACGACGGACCGGGAGATACACACCGGCCTCACCTCGCTGCTCGCTGTGCTGTACTGGGGGCCACTGTCCTCCCACTTGACCTCGCGGGACACGATGAGCAGGAACTCGGCCTGCTGGCTGCTGCCGTAGCCATACGGCGCCCCAATGCTGATGAGCTGCAACGAGGGCGCGGTTAAGGATATATAGATGTGTGTGTGTGACGTTAAGCAGTGACAATCGAGCACGTTTGGGGCGAGCCGCGACGTTCTTCTAAGCGCACGGCGCTAAGAGGGGGGGGAAGGGGCTGCGCGTTTGGGAGATGCGGCCCTGCAGCGGTTTTCACCGGAGCGAGCGGTGGCGATGTTGCTGTGTGCACGTAACTCCAACAAAGGGGCACCGCTCTAGCTTGGAGATGTTAACTCCGCCGCCTGGTATGTAGGAGGTCAGAGGTTTGCCTGCTGTATATTTGGAGTTTGCATGGCTCTCTCTCTTTCTCCCCATGGTCGAGTGGATTTTTTTCCAGGTACTCCGGTTTTTCCTCACCACGTTTAGAATCGAGGTCACACGTTTCGAGTTATTTGGCTGCAATAAATATCCACGTGATAAGCCCACCTCGTTGAGCTATCATTTGTGATGGCCAGGTCACTTCTGAAAAAGGGCTACACAGTTCAGTGGGGGCCTTACACCAGGCAAAATAAAATAAAAATTGGCAACTTTGCGACCGTGACGCTGGCACCACAATGGGCCTAACTCTTACAAAAGGACGTTCCAGAAGGGGGGTGGGGGGAAATCTATATACGTCCACCGCGTATTTGGAAGCTCGACGCGTGCCCTCGGCAGTAGTAAAACCAGGGGGGCATGCACCCCGCCGCCGGATCCGAACCCACAAACCTCTGCAAACAAAATAAGTTCCACATATATACAAAAGACGTTCCACATACAGTGAGGGAAAAAAGTATTTGATCCCCTGCTGATATTGCACGTTTGCCCACTGACAAAGAAATGATCAGTCTGTAATTTTAATGGTAGGTTTATTGGAACAGTGAGAGACAGAATAACAACAAAAAAATCCAGAAAAACGCATGTCAAAAATGTTATAAATTGATTTGCATTTTAATGAGGGAAATAAGTATTTGACCCCTCTGCAAAACATGACTTAGTACTTGGTGGCAAAACCCTTGTTGGCAATCACAGAGGTCAGACGTTTCTTGTAGTTGGCCACCAGGTTTGCACACATCTCAGGAGGGATTTTGTCCTACTCCTCTTTGCAGATCTTCTCCAAGTCATTAAGGTTTCGAGGCTGACGTTTGGCAACTCGAATCTTCAGCTCCCTCCAAAGATTTTCTATGGGATTAAGGTCTGGAGACTGGCTAGGCCACTCCAGGACCTTACTGTGCTTCTTCTTGAGCCACTCCTTTGTTGCCTTGGCCATGTGTTTTGGGTCATTGTCATGCTGGAATACCCATCCACGACCCATTTTCAGTACCCTGGCTGAGGGAACGAGGTTCTCACCCAAGATTTGACGGTACATGGCCCCGTCCATCGTCCCTTTGATGCGGTGAAATTGTCCTGTCCCCTTAGCAGAAAAACACCCCCAAAGCATAATGTTTCTACCTCCATGTTTGACGGTGGGGATGGTGTTCTTGGGGTCAAAGGCAGCATTCCTCCTCCTCCAAACACGGCGAGTTGAGTTGATGCCAAAGAGCTCCATTTTGGTTTCATCTGACCACAACACTTTCACCCAGTTGTCCTCTGAATCATTCAGATGTTCATTGGCAAACATCAGACGGGCATGTATATGTGCTTTCTTGAGCAGGGGGACCTTGCGGGCGCTGCAGGATTTCAGTCCTTCACGGCGTAGTGTTAGCAATTGTTTTCTTGGTGACTATGGTCCCAGCTGCCTTGAGATTATTGACAAGATCCTCCCGTGTAGTTCTGGGCTGATTGCTCACCGTTCTCATGATCATTGCAACCCCACGAGGTGAGATCTTGCATGGAGCCCCAGGCCGAGGGAGATTGAGTTCTTTTGTGTTTCTTCCATTTGCGAATAATCGCACCAACTGTTGTCACCTTCTCACCAAGCTGCTTGGCAATGGTCTTGTAGCCCATTCCAGCCTTGTGTAGATCTACAATCTTGTCCCTGACATCCTTGGAGAGCTCTTTGGTCTTGGCCATGGTGGAGAGTTTGGAATCTGATTGATTGATTGCTTCTGTGGACAGTTGTCTTTTATACAGTTAACAAGCTGAGATTAGGAGCACTCCCTTTTAAGAGTGTGCTCCTAATCTCAGCTCGTTACCTGTATAAAAGACACCTGGGAGCCAGAAATCTCTGATTGAGAGGGGGTCAAATACTTATTTCCCTCATTAAAATGCAAATCAATTTATAACATTTTTGACATGCGTTTTTCTGGATTTTGTTGTTGTTATTCTGTGTCTGTTCAAATAAAACTGCCATTAAAATTATAGACTGATCATTTATTTGTCAGTGGGCAAATGCACAAAATCAGCAGGGGATCAAATCCTTTTTTCCCTCGCTGTACATACATACAAATAAAAGGAGTTAAACATACACACGTGTACAAACCCCTAGGTTGCTCTACTGGGGAGTGTCGTCGTCTCTCACCTGCTCAAACTTCCAGCCGTCTGACATGGTGGAGACCATCTGCGTGAGCTCCTCCTCCTTGCACTGCAACACGCGGTAGATGTGCTTCACGCAGCCCTGGGGCGACACGTGGATACGGGGCGGGGGGAGCGCGTCGTACGTTCACTTGGCTCTATCCTTCGCCCGCACCTCCGATTACACTCACACACAGACTCACACAGTCGCATAGACTACTCAGACAGACACACAAACTCAGTCACATCGACTACTCGGACTGAGACGCAGACTCACACAGTCACATAGACTACTCAGACGGAGACACAGACTTGCACAGTCACATAGACTACTCAGACTGAGACACAGACTCGCACAGTCACATAGACTACTCAGACTGAGACACAGACTCGCACAGTCACAGACTACTCAAACTGAGACACAGACTCGCAGTCACAGACTACTGAGACTGAGACACAGACTCGCACAGTCACAGACTACTCAGATTGAGACACAGACTCACACAGTCACAGACTACTCAGACCGAGACACAGACTCACACAGTCACATAGACTACTCAGACGGAGACACAGACTCGCACAGTCACAGACTACTCAGACTGAGACACAGACTCACACAGTCACATAGACTACTTAGACTGAGACACAGACTCACACAGTCACATAGACTACTCAGACTGAGACACAGACTCACACAGTCACATAGACTACTTAGACTGAGACACAGACTCACATAGTCACATAGACTACTCAGACTGAGACACAGACTCACATAGTCACATAGACTACTCAGACTGAGACAGACTCATACAGTCACATAGACTACTCAGACTGAGACACAGACTCACACAGTCACATAGACTACTCAGACTGAGACACAGACTTGCAGTCACATAGACTACTCAGATGGACACAAACTCAGTCACATAGAACTCAAACAGAGACCCATAGTTTGTTCTGTCCTTCGCCCCCACCCCCCCCAATTAGCATGGTTGGGCTATATAAGGTGGTGCGAAATAAGTTCAACAAACAGTGTACATACATAGACTCACACTGAGACCTAACGGCTCACCCCTAGACTACTCGTATCAAGACCCATAGACTACTCATATTGAGACCCATAGACTCACACAGAGACCAACAGACTACTCATATCGAGACCTGTAGACTCACACAGACCCACAAAAAACCCCTAGACGACTCGTATCAAAGACCCATAGACTACTCATATCGAGACCCAGACTGACACAGTGACCCATATACTACTCATATCGAGACTCGTAGACTCACACATAGATCCACAGACATACCCCTAGACAACTCGTATTAAAGACCCACTCACAGAGACCCATAGACTACTCATCGAGACCCAAAGACACACACGTACTTACAGGCTCGAGCCCACGCCGCTTGTTAATATGTTAATGTCCCAAGCACATGGACGCCCATCGCCTCCACACTGCATGTCCCATGCTGTCCCCTCCCATCTGAGTCATAGTTTGACGATGCCAAGCTGTTGAATCGTGAGAACTCGACTCGGCAGTTGTGTTTGACTTGACACAACCTCGTCTATTTACATGGTAGTGCTGCTATAATCACAATCAATCTACTTTTCATTGCTCTATGTTACTTGTCTGGCTTTGTCGATTTTAATTGGGTGCCTTCGCGACGAATACTGTAACATTAATTTTTCACTCCCTGGAGGTCTCTCACCCTGGCCACGCAAAATTATAACCACGTAATGTGGCTCACAGCACCAATGTGACCCGCTCAGCCGGACCTTCACTTCTACTGGAAACCCAATGTGTACACGCCACGATGGCCTACCCCAACCAAACTAAACTATTTTTTATTTTACCAGGTCAGGCCCACTGAGCTATACAGCTCTTTTTCAGAAGCGGCCTGGTCATCAAAAATGGTAACAGCTCAACGAAGCGGATTATTGTCACGTGGAAATGTATAGCAGTCAAATACTTTAAATGTGTGATGTTGATTCTAAATGGGGAGGGAAAAAACGGAAGGCCCGGAGAAAAATCCACGTGACCACGGGGAGAGAGAGAGAGACGCCAACTTCAAATATACAGCAGGCATCAGGGTCGGGATCGAGCACCACGACCACCCGTATACCAGGTGAGGTAGTTAACATCACCACCGCAGCGTCCCAATAACCACGGACACCAAGAGCATGCGGGATCGGATTGTTGCCCCCGTCACTAAAAGCACGGTGAACAATAGTCACTCACATAGCCTTTGCTCGAATAGACATCGCACCGGTGTAACTGGATTTCTAATTGACAAAAATTTGCGAGCGGGTGACCATTATGTAAAATCAGCAGCACAGAGGTTCAAGGTAAAGGTGAACGTGGAAGGGCCACGTACAGACAACCCTGAATATTGTTTCCCTTTCTCGTGAAATCGGAAAGTTACGTTAAAAGGAGTCTGCACAACTCTTGCCGTGTCTGCGTCCGACTGCGAGGTTCTGAAACAGCGGCCCTGGGGGGAGAAGCGTTTACGGATAAACGCAGGCGAGCGAATGTACTCCCCCCTCGGGGCTAGAAGGCAGCGAGTGATATCCGCGTTCTTCTTCATCTAAGAAGGTATATTTGGCAAGCAATAAACAAAGTCGGATTGATGGCGACAGACACTCCAAATCCTCAGCTCCCCTACGGGCACGACTGCAATGCACCCCCCCCCCCCCCCTCGTGGCGTTTGGTCGACACGCTTTGAAATGTCGCACAGCCTCAAATGGGGCACATGGGGAGAGAGTGCCAGATTCCCTCCCTCCTCCTCGTCAGCGTGGAGGCAAAGAGCCACTTTTAGCAACACGGTGATAAACTGCACAAAAATATCTGGTCACCATCCTCCCTCCCTCCTTTTCCACCCTCCCACACCCCACCACCTTTCATCTGTGGCTCGTGAATATGCCACAAACTTCATTTTATTTGGGCAACACAAGTTTGGTAAACACAAGTGTAGTCTTAACCCTCGCATATGCACTAGGAAATCACCAGACAGAAGCAAGCTGCTGTTCGCCACAAGACCGCCTTTCTAAACACAGCGCGGAGGAAAAAAAAGCAAGACAATTCCCACGAGATCTCGTCCAAACAAAGCCAAGCAGACGTTTGCTTACAATAGCCCACGACGCTATAAACACGCGCGCACACAAAACTATTCGTACGTTGGCAGCCACACACACGTGCACGCGCCGATAACTGCAAATAGTAAAACGGCGAGTAATTTATCTCGCCCAAACCGCAACAAAAAATATTTTCATCGTGGTGATCTGTCCACTGCTGGATGAGCCCTCCGCACGTCATCGCCCTCGCATTCTTGCTCTGTCAACCACAACACATGTCACTCCTGCACAGGAGCCGACCTCACCGCGCCACCCCTCTGCAATGGTTTGGGCTTCTCCCGTCATGCTTCCTCCTTTGGCTGCCATTGCTTCACTGATCTCGATGCAGGAAAGTGAGCGATAACAAATTCGCCGACATATCCCCGATCGATCGCAAATGTTCCCCATGATCCGATTGCGTTAACTGTCTCGAGTCATCCCGACTAAATTCACACCCCCAACATCTCCCGGACTCAGGAAATCACATCCAGCAGAATTCAAACTCATTCCTACCAAAAAAACAATAAAAGGTTTTACCCTTTCTGGCAGTAAAACAGGTGTTAAGATGTTCAAACACAAAATAGAAACCTTTTTAAAGGATTCATGTCTGCATTAACCACACGTACTTGTGGTGGACATGCAAACAAACATGCTGTGATAAAACCTATTCCTATGTTTTCATACTTTCATTGTGGCAAAAAGGTCCCATTTCATACTTACCGGTTTAAAAAAGAACAGGATTCGAATCCTGCCTACAATCCACGGGGCGGGCGGTAAGACGGCCCGCCACAGAAGTTGGCGGTTCCAATCTGGCGGGCCGACCCTGGTCGATTACCACGGTTGTATTAAAATGTAAAGCACGTGGCTGCCGTCTGCTCCCCCCCCCTGCCGCCGGACGGCGACAAAGAGGCCACCGCGTGCTCCAAGTTCGCCAAATTCGACCCCCGAAATGGACTCAAGCCGAGAGACTGCAGGGGCGCCGCGCAACGAGCAGAGCCTTGTGGCTACGCGCAGGAGGAAGGGAGGGAGCAGGAGGGAGGGGGGCAGGGAGCAGGAGGGGAGGGAGGGTTACAAACACGCCGACCTCTGAGCCGTTAAGGCCTCTGGAAGGGCATGAGCCACGCACCTGGGCCAACTTGTTCCTCTCCCGTATCTGCTCCTTCACAAGCAAGACTAGCGACGCCACGTTGTAGAACTCCGCCTCCACCAGAACGCCTGCGGGGCAGCCAACAACAACAACTATAACGACTACAACAACAACGATGACAACTACAACAACGACGACAACAACGACAACAACAACAGGGACAACGACAACCATCGTTCACCACTCAGTGGCGGTAACGTCACCATGGCGCTTGTGCCATGGAGGCTACTTGAAGTGCTGTGAAGCGTTAGAGGCTACGTGAAGTGTTAGAGGCTACTTGAAGTGCTGTGAAGCGTTAGAAGCTACGTGAAGCGTTAAGAGGGCTACCGCTGGCAGGTCACAGAAACAAAACCGGGTGACTGTGGGTTGACTAACTGAGATGACTGGAGCAAACAACACATCAGCCGCAACACCGCCCAGCCACACCCTCAGCAACAGCAGCAACAACAAACTACAACGACCATTTACCGCACTTGTTAATTTCGTTTCATTCTTTTCGCGCAAGGCGAGCAGGAAGGTGCCGTGTCACGGACGCGTCCTGCGACGATTTTGCAGCAGGGGGCGATGTCGCTCTCCATGCGAACCCGTGAGATTAATTTGCGTGTCGTTTTTAGAATTTTTCACATGTGGACCGTGGCGTCGGCACACAAAGGCCTCCCTCTTTTCGATTGACCCTGGGGGGATCTTCCAAGTCCACTGCAAAAGCAGACGGCACATAGCGTTGCACGGTTAATGCACGCACGCACGCGCGCAGTATTAGTAACCGGGCCATCCTTCTGGGTTTGAACTGCAAACCTCTGCAGCCGTGAGCATGAGGAGCGTGCTCGGTGGGTCCTGCCCCACACGACTCGCGAAGTGAGAGAGCGTCCCGCATCCGTGCAGAGTGTAACATCATCAAAACAAAGGACAACCTAAGGTTAGGGGGACAACAGGCGAGGTGAGGAGTGAGGGAGGCCCTGAGTGCCTTGACGGTTGGCGGAGTTGTGAGGGCAGTCAGGTCTTGTGGCAGGCCATGGATTATGTACACGTGATGATTATATATATTTTAGTGTGTCTATTAACCCTTTCCCATTCCGGAAGAAAAACAAAAAGTGAAAAAACTTTATCGGTGCCGAGGCTCCCACAAGGCCACGCGGGGGAAGGTGTGCGGCAGAGTTTTGGCGCCGGCTATCGTAGAGTGTGGCGGTACGTCTTTAAAAACAATGGCGCGACGATGGCTCTCTAAATAAAATTAACGCAGAGCCGCTCACGCGTTCCGAGATTCAGCGATTAACGAGACACCACCACGCCCTGCGACTTGCAGATGTCTTGGAACGGGAAAAGGGTGAATTGGCAACTGGATAGAGCCCACAACCTGGTTCCACCTGACAACCTGGTTTCAGCAGGGGGTGCGGCTGCCTGAATGAGAGTCCAGGATCTGAGTGGTTGCAGCTTGCACACTGTGCTCAACTAAAACTATTTAAACTTTTTATTTTATTTTACTTGGTAATGCCCCACTGAGATATCTAGTTCTCTTTTGAGAAGCGACCTGGCCCCAATGAAGATTTGACTTTCGTAAAAATGTCCGCGAAATAAAAAGTTGGAAATTGTATTTATTTAACGACCTGATCCTCCAACCTGTCCCAGTGGTGAGCACAGACACAAGGTGGACAGGCTTACAGGGTACAGATCTGTTTAACACGTAGTAGTAGTAGGCTTGAGACCATTATTATCCATAATCGAGGTTTGCCGGGTAAGATCGCGTAAATATGAATTTGTCGTTAAACCCGCTACCACCCGACACAAACAATTTGTGAGGTTTGTCACGTAAACAAACAGACTAATTCGTTACTAGTTCATCACACCAGTTGTGTGTTGGAGAGTGAACCCACGACAACATTTACAATTCACGAGTACCGTGACGTTTCGCCAGTAATTACAACAACAACCAGCATCATCGGGCGACAGCCAGAGTTGTGGAGAAATCCTCCTGTTTTGGTCTTAAATAAAGATGGGGGTAATAAATGTAACGTCGTAGCTGTGAGCCAATCAGGTGTGAAGACCAGAAGGGGTGGGGGGTTAATGTAATCATTTAAATTACAGTAGATATCCATTGTTGTCTGGGCACAGATCTCTTGGTGTGACGTCTACCGATGCAAGGTAGTGGCACTGCTGCCATCGCCGCACTCGGCCTTGCACGCTCTGACGCCGATTGGAAAATAGTCGAGGGGAGAAAAAACAATGGACAGGAAAATGTCGTTGGCAAATGAGCGCGACGAAGCCAAATGAGTATCAGTAACACACCGCTTTTGAAAATGTTGTCTTTGCACCGATAAAGAGATGATAACGCTCATTTGGAAATTTCAGACTGGAAGACATTGCAATTATTATTTTGTTGAAATAAGATATTTTACTTGGATAGTCCCTTCTATTGTTTTATGAAGGTATCCATTAAATATAAATTATATAAAAATTATTAATAATTTACCTCCAGTTCACACAAGTTAACAATCTCTACCAAAATAAAACTAAACCATTTTTCATTTTACCACGGTAAGGCCCACTGAGCTATGTAGCTCTTTTTCAGAAGCAACCTGGCTATCACAGATGACAGCTCTACGAAGTGGCTTATCACGTGGACATTTACAGCAGCAGCCAAATACTCTAAACACGTGATGCTGATTCTAAATCTTAAGGGAAAACCCGGAGAAAAATCCACGCGACCACGGGGAGAGACACCGCAAACTCCACATACACAGCAGGCGCCAGGGGTCGGGGGATTGAACCCACGACCTCCTGCATACCAGACAAGGGAGTTAACATCTCCTAGACACCGTGGCACCCTTGAAATTTCCACCCCTTTGCTCTGAGGCCCGAGAGGGGAGATGATCGGAGTGTGGCAGTGGTGGAGCGAGCAGAGCCGAAAAAGATCGCCGTGTGAGCGCGTCAGCATGTGAGCGTGAGAGCGCGTCAGCACGTGAATGCGTTAGCACGTTAGCGCGTCAGCACGTGAGCGTGTGAACGCGTCAGCGACGACGATCGTGACGGCTCACCCTCCTCCGTGAGGTGCTTGTTGAGGATGAGCTTCCCGTGCCGCAGGTAGTTGAGGATGGTGCTGAAGTAGGCCGGGTCTCGGTCGAGCAGGAACGCTCCGGTCTCATCCTGTGTGTGCACAGCAGCAGAGGCAGACCGTCAGCTGCCGTCTCTGTGTGCGAGTGTGTGTGAGTGCGTGCGTGCGAGTGGGGAGTGGTGTAGTGGTTAGCGCGCTGCGCTACGAACCCGGTGACCCAAGTTCAATTCCTGCTCATGGCCAACACCAGCGACGATTATCTATTCAGTGACGATTATCTAAACTGGTCCTGGGCCTTCCCTAGGTCGACTCAAATGAGTACCTGGTATGGTGTGTAAACATCGCCACTCAGGAGACAAAGGCGGCCAGGCATGGTGCTGGCCACCCACCCCCTCGTGTGCCGTGCCGGCCTTCATAGGTGCTCGCTAACAGCACTTGCCCCAACTGTCTGTCCAAGGCTACACGGGAGATATTTGTCTTTATGCAGTGGTGGAACCAAAGTGACAGGAAGGCGATCTCCCCACCCTTGAGACCCCGAATCTCAGTACGTATGTATGTTGAACTTATTTTCGCACCATACGTAGCTAACTGTGCTAACTGGAGGTGCTGCATTGTAAATCCGTCGTCGTGCGATTATGAACACTGCGACCCGACTAGCGTCGCCTCAACCCCCACGCCGCAGACAGCTTCGTCGTCCATTCCGTCTCGTTATCCATCGCCTCTCAGCCTTCGCCTCTGCCCTCTACCACCCTGTTAATCGCTTCGATTAACAAATATATTCGTCGTCATCGTCGCACCTTTCAGGAACGCATTCCCGATGTAAACCGGGATATTGCTGGATATTGATATATTTTTTATGTTTACTAGTGGGTAGAATGGAGAGCGAGACTTAAGAGGCAACACGTTTATTAAAACAATAATTACCTTAACACGAATGGGAAAAGGCCCCTTCCACCCGATACTCTACAGAGGTATATCCTTCGGCTAACGCGCCCTAACACTGGGGAGGTTAACTTCGACCCGACCCTGGCTGGGGTCCGAGTCCCGTTTTCGGGCTCCTCTTCAGGGTGACGGCTTCGGGTCTTCAAGTATACAACAGCAGCCGGAGCCGTTCAGGGGTCCGGCTAATATAGTCAGTCCCGGCTCTCTCCGCCCCTAGCCACGCCCTCCTTCTCGCACCTTCGAGAAGGACCTGGGCTGTGGGCACGTCATCCCCCCAGCCCCCTCTTGGGGGTCCTGGGGTCCATACCTCCGGTCACGAGCCGCCCTGGGTTCAACCTGAATGCTTCGGCCCAGCTCGACCCGAGCACTCTTCCGCCCCCTGTCGTCCTGGAGCTGACACTACATTCGGGGAGCAGTGGCATCACCCAGTCATGTCACTACACCACTATTAATATTAATGCAAAGGCCCTATTTAGAAAGATAGAAATTTCAGGAACGCCGACCCCTGGTACGTTTCTAGATTCCGTCAACGTCCATTCTCCATCACGATCCGACGAGGAGCAACACATCAGCTCTACAGTTCAATTCTGGGTACGCTTACAACACGCACGTAAAAAAACACGCAACGCACAGCGATTCACAGCTGGCCCACGTAGCAACCATTATCTTAACGCTCAACAACAAAACGAGACAGAAAGCTTTGTGTTACAGCCGCTCATGTAAACATTCATCTTGCGACTTATTCGACATCACGAGAACCGATTTTGAGCGCAGCACCACCACCACCGCAAGATTTTCTGACCGGGGGAAGTGGGGGGGGTTTGGGAATCACGGGAAAATAAAAAATTATTGGGTGCTTTATTTATTTATGCAGCGTACTACCGCCAGTGCATACCGCCAAATGCGTTTGCATGTGCCCCACACCTTCTGGCAGTGTAGGCAAACTTCAGTGGGACCGCGAGGAGAGCCACAGACCTCATGGAAAAGGGGGGGCACACACACTTGAGGACACGGGATGCAAGTGTTCATTTCTGCCGACTGTAAACACATTTGAATGTCCTTGGCTTGCCTCAACGAAGGGTCCACGCGCTTCACAGCACAGCCGTGCATCGCCGGTGAAAACCAGATTTCAGCATGGCGTGCCGCAAGGGCGATACACAAGCAAGTACGTTGAACTTCTTTCGCACTGCACGCGGCCAACCGTGCTAATCGGTGATACAACCGACTCGAAGGACTACAGGCCCCCCACGCGCGTTAGCCTTTTCGTACACGCGCACATACACACGTTAATTATTCACGAAGATTTGGAGAATTACGTTGTTGAGCACAGAAAATGGTATTGGCCAAACATCCCAAACGCTGAAAGAATACCTCCACATTACTCAGTAACAAGTAACTTTTTAGTGACTTGCTTACCACCTTTCCTATACTATGCACTCCTATTGGTTTTTGTATCGTTTGTTGTAGTAACTTTCTGACCCCCCTCCACCCCCCGGGGCCCCCTTACCGGACATCTGTGCAAAAAAGAGCTTCATGGCTCATTAGATTCTGCCTCTGCCTGTCTTCACCAAGGTTCTGATTCGTTGGGTGACGACGTGACGAACAGAAACTCGCGTTGTGCCGGTGCGCCGAGGGCGACCTGTCAACGCTTTTAACGAGTTATGTTCGCGGCGACTTTGGAAGAGAATTATTTCGAAAAAGTGGCCGACACAAAAAGGCGATTTATAATAATTGCTGAAAGGGGGGGGGGAAGCATCAGCTGTATCGGATTTGCCGACCCCGCCACACTAGAACGTCTGATGGAAATGAACTCAAGAAAGACGACTACAAGGTTGGGCTCGTGGATATGCTAACAAAAACACAGAAGTGCAGCCATTCACACTGCTAGAGAGTAGCAGAGGGAGATACTCTACAGAGCAGTGGTTCACACTGCTAGAGAATAGCAGAGGGAGATAATTTACAGAGCAGTGGTTCACACAGCTAGAGAGCAGCACACAGAGGGAGATACTCTACAGGGCAGTGGTTCACACTGCTAGAGAGCAGCACACAGGGAGATACTCTACAGGGCAGTGGTTCACACAGCTAGAGAGCAGCACACAGAGGGAGATACTCTACAGAGCAGTGGTTCACACAGCTAGAGAGCAGCACACAGAGGGAGATACTCTACAGGGCAGTGGTTCACACTGCTAGAGAGCAGCACACAGGGAGATACTCTACAGAGCAGTGGTTCACACAGCTAGAGAGCAGCACACAGAGGGAGATACTTTACAGAGCAGTGGTTCACACTGCTAGAGAGCAGCACACAGAGGGAGATACTCTACAGGGCAGTGGTTCACACAGCTAGAGAGTAGCACACAGAGGGAGATACTCTACAGGGCAGTGGTTCACACTGCTAGAGAGCAGCACACAGAGGGAGATACTCTACAGGGCAGTGGTTCACACAGCTAGAGAGCAGCACACAGAGGGAGATACTCTACAGAGCAGTGGTTCACACTGCTAGAGAGTAGTACACAGAGGGAGATACTCTACAGTGCAGTGGTTCACACTGCTAGAGAGCAGCACACAGAGGGAGATACTGACTCTAAATGCCCTTTCCCCCACTAAAAAAAAACCTTATAGCTTCGTAATGTTTTTTTTTTAAGTTCCCGGTGATATAAATAATTTTGTATGACTGGCATTGAGAGCGATGAGTTAATGCATTGTCACCAGGGCCGGCTGGCTGGGGGTGGTCCGTGGAAACGTTTGCCGGGCAGGTAGAATAAATGTGTGGAGTGGCTGCTCTACCCATCAAAACTTTGGGCAGCGGCACTTGCCAAGAGACGGCAAGACGATGCACGATTCCTCCCGCATGTCTCCACCCGCGCAAACGGAGCGGTTCGTGACGGCAGCGTGGACCAAACCTCCCATCATTATCATCATCCACTCACCTTGCTTGCCGCTCCACCTCACAGCTATGAGCTTGCAAGTGTACGGTACCATGCTTTGTAGAATGCACATTGTCCTCGTTGTTAGCCGTGGTCTATCCACCTGCCGTATAAAAGCCCGCCTCTGGATCCCACGACGATGCTACACAGCCCATGTCACTCCTGCACACGAGCCTGTCTCATTGCTCCATCTCTACGGCGGCCGTCCTCTCCAACGCGTTACCCTTTGTCTGCCATTCCGCCAACAATGTCATCCATCGGCTGTCGTCTCGCGGTGGCTACGTGATGTTAACTTCCTCACCTCGTATACAGGAGGTCGTGGATTCGATCCTGACCCTAACGCCGCTGTATATTTGGAGTTTATGTGTCTCTCCCCGTGGTCGCATGGATTTTTCTCCGGGTCCTCCGGTTTTTCCTTCCAAATTTAGAATCAAAATCACACGTTTAGAGTATTTGGGCTGCTATGGATTTCCACAAAATAAGCCACTTCGTTAAGCTATCATTTGTGATAGCCAGGTCACTTCTAAAAAGGAGCTATATTGCGCTCAGTAGGGCCTTACCTGGTAAAACCAAAACATAGTTTTAGTTTTATAGTTGATAAGGTCTGGCGAGTAGCACACAGGAAACGTGATCTATCAATGTTGTCTTTCACTGCGGAAACTTTTGAAACTATAAAGGATGCTTCAAATTTGTTAACACTTATATGGGACTATCGTCTTTAATGAAAAAATAACGGATAATAACGTGATAACAAATGTAGGTTAATAGCTTCAAAAAGTCAAAGAGTCTCCACTTGCTCGCCATCATTGTTAACGCATGCCTGGAATCTTCTCCAGGTGGTCTCCAGGGCCCGGAGGCACATTTATCGTGGTATTGTTGCAAATTCTCAGAAGTGTTAGAAAACATTTTTAAAGCACCCTATCAAAATCAGGGTCCGCGTACAAGGGACTGTGAACACGGGGGAAGTTACGGCGGTTGGTTGCAGAGGTTCGCGGTTCGAACTGGGCTGACCCCGCACTGGTTGATAACGCGCGGTGCATACAAACCGTCAAATACAGCGCATGCGCGCGGTCTGCTTCACACTGGACATTAAAGATCAACAGACGGTCCTTCCAAGCGAGCAGGCCACTGTGTAGCGGCATCAACGTCTATTGCTTTATTTCAAAATTTCCAATGTTGCCCACGCCATTACTCAAACTTGGATCCACGCGCTGCAGGAACATCGC